GTTACAATGCAGAAACCACAATTGCACATGTAATCTGTCCAAGGTGCTGCAGATAAAGGGTCTGGGTGAAAATAAATCTGCCTATACGCATTGCACTGGCACCCTATTCCCGTACGCATTGCACTGGCACCCTATTCCCGTACGCATTGCACTGGCACCTTATGCCCATACATATTGCACTGACACCTTATGCCCATACATATTCCACTGGCACTCTATGCCCATACACAGTGCACTGGCACCTTATGCCCGTACATATTGCACTGGCACTCTATGCCCGTACATATTGCAGTACCACCCTATGCACGTACATATTGCAGTACCGCCCATTGCACTACCAACCTATACCCCTTCACATTGCACTGCCCCACTGTGCCCAGGGACCCAACTCTCCCATGAGTACCTGCATTTGTGCGATCTCTGAGCTCTGCTTGTCATCCAACTCTTGAATCTGCCTCTCCAGAGCCTCGTTGACCCCCCGGCAGGCGTCGATCTCCAGCGCCTTGGCTTTGAGCATCCTCCGGCTCTCCGACATCTCGTCCTTGGCCGCCCGCACCGCGTCGGTGTTCCGCGCCGCGCTCTGCGTCAGGACGGTGAAGCGGGATTTGAACCACTCCTCCGCGGACTGCATGTTCTTGGCCGCCAGCTTCTCGTACTGCGCCCGGATGTCGCGCAGGGCAGAGCTGAGGTCCGGCTTGGCCACGTCGACCTCCAGGGAGATCTGAGCGTACTGCACCTGGGACTGCAGCTGGGCCAGCTCCTCTTCGTGCACCTTCTTCAGGAAGGCGATCTCGTCCAGCAGGCTGTCCATCCTCTTCTCCAGCTCGACCCGCCCCAGCGCCGCCATGTCAGCCTCCTTGCGCACGTCCAGCAGCCGGCTCTCCGCGTCCTCCCGGTTCATCGCCTCCTCTTCGTAGCGCCCCTGCAGAGACCGCAGCGCGTCCTCCAGCCTCTCCCGCTCCCCACGCAGGGTCTGCCGGTCCCCGGTGGCTTCCTCATGGGCCAGCCGGAGCTCCCGCACCTCCCGCTCGTACAGGTCCCGCAGCCGGGACGGTTCGCTGTGCTTCTGGCGCAGGAGGTGCAGCTCAGCCTCCAGCACCTTGTTGCGCTTCTCCAGTTCGTGCACCCGCTCGATGAAGCTGGCGAAGCGGTCATTGAGGTCCTGCAGCTGCGCCTTCTCCTGGGTGCGGACGATTTTCAGGTCGCTGCTGATGGCGGCCACCTGGGTCAGGTCCAGAGAGTCGGCTCCGTGCAGGAGGGTGGAAGCGGACGAAGCGGAGGAGGTGTAACTCCTGCGCACACTGCTGATGGAGGGAGAGTAGCTGCTCCGGCTTGGGGACGCATAGCTGCTCCTTATGTGCAACCGAGGGCTGCTCTCCACCACCCTGCGCTTATAGGAGGCGCCGTAATAGGGATCGTAGCTGTACGAGCTCATGGTGAGGGCTGGGGAGCGACTCCGTCCTGCACACCTACTTATAGCGCGCGGGACACTGGCCGCGCATGCGCACAGCCGCCTACACTCTGCAATTCAGCACCAAGGGCAGCGGATGGCTCTGTGCGGACCGGCCCCCTTCTTGAAGCTTAGACCTGCAGATCTGGTGCTGGCTGCAAAGTCCCCCACCCCACCAACTCCCTGCCCTACAGAGACACAGCAAAAGATGTCTGACACTTAATTCTACATCCTTTAATAGTTCATTCTTGTGTGCAGGTGAACACAAATGACACCAATGCACATACACACACTGCAAGGGTTAAATGCCCCTTAGGATTCATTCCCCTCATAGCATTGTGTCAATGCAGTATTAAGCTTTCAAACTTGTAAAAAAAAAAAAAAACGGATCAAATAAATATACCCCAAAAGGGATACACTCCCTGGGAAAAAAATATAACACGCAAACTAATGTCTATAAAAATAGCAAAATGTATTAACAAAACATATTTAAAAAAACAGGATCACATTTCACATGATCTGAGAAGCTACTCTGTGTATCCTACATAGATGATCAATGCAATATCTATGCAAGAAACTGAAGGAAATGGTTAATTCATATGAAAACCAGCATACAGAACTCACACATTGGGTCACACAAGCTGAAAGCCGTCCTCGGGTGGCAGTGATCACTATGATGACACCTGGAAGTTAGTATGCGAAAAAGGAAAAACAAAACAAAAAATGTTTTTGAAAAAGTTTATACTTTACTTTGTATGCATTATACTGTACTATACTGCATTAAAGTATCTTAACTATTAACAACAATGTATCTTATTTGTGTATCACTCGGCTGTAGATCCTCCAATCATCTCTGAATTGGTGCTGACACTGTCCTTCCTTCTGGAGGGTGGCTCCCTGCGTGTGTTGTAAAGTTGTCACCACTCCAAGCTCACTCCTGTGATGGACTACAATCTCATGTTTAGTTTACTAATTTGTATTGAGATTGTAGTCCATCCTGGGAGTGAGCTTGGAGCGGTGACTACATTACAACACACACAGGGACCATGGGGAACAAAAGTAGCCCCCCTCCAGAAGGAAGGACAGTGTCAGCACCAATTCAGAGATGATTGGAGGATCTACAGCCGAGTGATACACAAATAAGATACATTTTTGGTAATAGTTAAGGTACTTCATTGCATTTTTAAGATTTAACTTCGGAGGTTAGTGTCACTTTAAATGTTTGGCCAAGCACTTAAAGTCATCATGTTTCAACTCTCTCAGCTCAGCTTCCCTAAACTTCCTGTCCAGTACAAGATCACAAGGGACAGAGCAGACTACAGCAGCTATCTAGTAGTGATAAAGGAAGGTGGGAGGTAGGGAGCAGGAAAGTGGATTGCCTTGATGTGTCTGTGTATTTGTGGAGACACACTCAGCTTACTAGCACACACAAGAGTGGCTCCATAGAACCCAACAAGGAAAAGGAGCCACCCTAAAACCAAATATCATGCCCAGCGCTCAGGGGACCAGCTGATTCTGCAGGAATGCCGTCCATAGCTGTAAGGCATTGTCGGCTGGGAGAGACCTCATGTCTGTCAGCCACAATGAAATAGGAATGAGACAGAGCTTTGCGGTCACATGACCATAGAGAAAAACTTTTCAAAAAAACGTATTTAGAAAGTCATTTATGAGAACACAGGAGGATCAGAGCAAAAAAAGGGGAGCACCATATAAAAATGAAACTTGTCTTAGCCATTGCAGTGGAGCTACCCCAGCACTGCGAGGGTTAAGTGCTCGTTTTGGTCTGGGTGCAAACATAATAAAGTTCTATTCACCTGAACCTCAGAGCCGGCTGGTTGCGACAGCGCTCCCTCCAGCCTGCCTCCTCCTCCACTGGAGTGATGGTGTATCCTCCTGTGTCCTTACTTCCTATGCACGGTGTATTGGAGGTGATAACTCAGGGACTTTAGACTGCTCCAGCGGAAGAGGAGGAGAGACATTCCAGGGACGGGTCTAAGAGCAAGACGGCTCCAAGGATCGGATAAGTATCACTTTTTTATTTTACAACCTAGACGAAAATAAGCACTTAACCCTTGCAGTACAGGGGTAGGAATACAGGGGTAGCCCCACTGCAAAGGTTAAGAAAAGTTTTGCCTGGAGATCTTCTTTAACCAGTTGACATCCGCGGTGTTACACCCCCTTCCCATCCAGTCCATTTTTCAGTATTCAGCGCTGCGGTACTTTGACTGACATTTATTCCGTCATGCAACGCTGTACTGAAATACATTTTATACCATTGTTTGGGGACACATAGAGCTTTATTTTGGTGGTATTTAATCACCGCTGGGGTTTTTATTTTTTAATATATTAATGAAAAATTACCGAAATGTTTTTTTATAAAACAGTTTCCCCTATATTAAATGATAAAACATTTATTATTACCCAATTTTTTAGTAAAATATAAAAGACGGGGTCACGTCGGGTAAAAAGACACCAAACATGTCAAGCCTTAAAATTGCGTGCGCGCGCGAAACCTCAAAAAACGATAATACCCAAAATTGACCATAGGTGACGCTTTAAAAGCTTTTACCGCTCATCAGTTTAGTGTTATCAGTGATTGATGGCCCTAAAATGATTGCTCTCACTCCGGCGTACGCGACGATATGTAACATGTGTAGTGCAATTGTCGTTTTCGCGCGCTGGTGCACTGGACGCGTATTTACGTTTATATGTGCGTAAACGAAGGGGGGGCTTACTTTTTTTATTTGTGACTTTAATTTTTTTAACTTTTTTTATTTATATAGATTTTTTTTTTACACTTATTGTTATTGCTATTATATAGGGGGATACCATCCCCCTATATAATAGCACAGGTACACTGACAGGTCCTCTTTATGGAGACATTAGGGGTCTCTAGACCCCTAATGTCACCTGGAGACCCCAAAAGAAGCTGATGAAGCACAGATCTGCTTCATCAGCTTCTTCTCTCTGGCAGTAGGAGCCAGATGACTGACAGGGGAATGCGGAAGTGATGTAATACACATCACTTCTGCATTCACACTACAGAGGGAGATCAGCAAGGAGCTGACTCCCTCCCTCCTCCTCCTGATGCCCTCCCGAGCCGGTCCCGGGCCGCAGATGGGCTAGCGATTAAAGGTGAGGGGTCGGGGGTGGGAAATGGCGGCACTCGAGATGGGGGGGCGCTCCGAAATGCACGCCATACAACCGATCGGCGGCTATAGAGCCGCTGATCGGTTGTATGTGAAACAGCCATTAACGGCTGTAGTAACAAGCGGGTCTTTCCTGCCCGTGCGCGCGCGCTAGGGGGCGCGCGCGAGCAGGAAAAAATGCCGTCTGGAGACGGCAACCGGCGGATACGAGTCTGCCGTCTGTCCGTTTACGGGCGGACGGCAAGAGGTTAACAGGTGTGTTATTGTGCTGACTTTCCTGTCAGTTTTTTCTGCCATTTGTGTCTCATTAGGGAGATTTCCCTTCACTTCCTATCCTGTAGAATCAACAGCCCAGTAATTGAGCTGCAAGTTTGAAAATGACTTGCTAAACTATTGCAGACTTGCCAAGCTTCACAATTTTGTTGCACAATTACAGCAAGTCTGCATTGCAAGTCTCCAGATCAACGTGCTTTGTAAAAGTGCTGTACACTTGCTCTTGCTAAGACCTGCAGGACTCTTGCTGAAGACTTGCCGAGCAAATTTGCTACAAATTCAAAAAGTGTCAGCTAGAAGTTGTGCTGCGAGTGCTCTGCAAGTCTACAACTTGCCGGGAATGTGTGCAGCACGTTTGTGCCAAGTTATCCTTGCTATCTGGGAGGAAGTGAGAGGATATCTTTCCAATGTGAAGGAAATCCAGTCTTGGATTCTCCTCTACTCCTGTTCTGGCAGCCACTTAAAATTTTGGGTTTACTCCTTTTGTTTCCCGTGATGTAGGTGATCTGCACATGGATGTTGGTGATCTATGCAGGGCCGGATTTACTTTCACTGCTGCCCCAAGGCCAGGTTCCTCAATGCACCACCCTCCCCACCAACCTCCCCTCCCCCCCATGGAGAATGGCAACCACATGGCGGGGGCGGCAGGGTTAGTTTTAATTTTAATTCTTAATGTTTTTATACTTTATCACTTTTTTTTTATTTCTATTTATGTTTTTACTTTTTAAAATTTGTATTTCTTATTTTTTACTTTTTTATATTTTATAATTTTATTTATCTTATTACTTTTTTTTATCATTTTTTCTTATTATTTTTTGCTTTTTAATCACCTTTTAATTTTTTTAATTTAATATTTCTTATTTTTTAAAATTTCTATTTAATTATTTTTTTATCAATTTTTTTAACTTAACTTTATCGCTATCACACAGGAGATAACAATCCCCTGTGTGATAGCATTTGGAGGGGACAGGTTCTCTTTAGAGAACCTGTCACTTCCAATACAGGTGTGCTAGCACAGCACTGTGCTGGAACTCCTGTGACAGCTGAGATGGGAAGGCTGCAAGTGCTGCTCTTCCCTCTCACTGATTACACGGAGCAGAGCGGAGAACGGACGTTCTCCGCTCTGCTCCCCGCTTTCCATCCTGAGGATCTCCGGCTAGTGAAGAGAGGTACATGGCTGGGGGAGCCTGAAGATCTCCAGCGACGAGAAAGGTGGGCGCGTGGGGGAGGCAGGGAGGGTAGTCGGAGGACGGACCTGCAGTGTCTCATTAGAAGTGATCTTGGGGACAGTGCCGAGATCACTTCTAAACAAACAAGCTGCTTCCCCACTCTACATTTAGCCCTGCTTGCCCAAAGCAGTGCTAAATGTAGAAAACAACTTAGCACCCGGCATCGGAACTGCATGTCACAGGCGTCGGAAGATTCCACACCTCTGCCGCCCCTCTGCTCGCTGCCGCCCCAAGGCCAGTCCTTGGTGGCCAAGTGGCAAATCCGACCCTGGATCTATGTATGTTGGTGCCTTTAAAGTTACACAGAAATCCCAGTGATGCATTCATAAAAATTTCCCAGGAGCCCCTGCTCTATGAGTTCTCCTAGAAAGTATCTCAGGTCTTGAGTGACCCCCTTCATATCCA